CACACATACACACACACACAAAACTGTTAATATCCTTTCCCTATTAAAGTAGGAATTTATTAAATGAACTAAATTATTGCTTGAACTGTTCAAGTTATACAGCAGTAACATTCATTGGCCTCAGTGTTCTGAATTTATCTATCTTTCCTGTCACATTGACATGCTTCATATTGTAGCAAGTAGCAAAATAATCATGTTTTCTAAATATATAGTCACTCAGATATCATGATGAAGTAAAGCATCGTATCCATTAAAAATAAAAGAACTTTAAGGAGCTGCTAGAAGAAACCATTGGTTTTAAGAGTTTTACAACTTTACTTTCAAGTTTCCTTTAGCCATAAATGTGATTAAGCAACTATGAGGCCTATAAATACTTTTAGACTTTGCCATAAATACAGAAAAGTATATGAAGAGATTTTGCTTTATGATATTAGCAATATCATCTAACAGTAAAGGATTTCAAGGGAAATTAGGGCAGACAAATACTTATCAAGAAGCATTCCTACATGTGATTTTCTTTATAGTTTGACCATAACTGTCTTCAGGTATCATTGATGTTGTTTTTCAGATATCCTCAGATACAGCTCCCCTATATTTACCTCTTTTATATATATACACACACACACATACATATACATACATACATTTTCATCAAAGCCTTCATTGCTTGAAAGTTATATTTTAGTCTATAGATTTGTAATTGACCTAAATTTTAAAAATTTCATACATATTTTTATTTCAGTTAAACAGTATAAAAGAACAAAGCTTGTTTATATTATAGTCTGCAGTAAGTATGGATACTCAATTAGATTATTTTATTCAAAATAATTACTCATTAAGTATGTATTATTTCTAATTAGAAAAATGTGTCTATTTTCTTGAGAATAGTATGTTTTTGCACAAATAAAGTCTGATTTTAGGGAAAAGAACTTCATAACATCTTCAAATATTGGAGTATTTTAATATTAAAAATTAGGGGAAATTAAAGATTTTTTTACTTTCATATTTGTAAAATTGGATTTTAAAATCTATAATTTATTTTTAGGTTAAAGAGGACATATCTTTAAAACAAAAAGTTTTTTCAGAAGACATATATCTATGTCCTTTACCTAAACTTACTAGCTTAGATTTTACTACCTAAGCACCATTGTCTAGTTGCCAGATATTTTTTAACTGTTTCACATTGCTTTCTAAAATGTCATATTTTTAAAGTCATACTTTATAAAGAAGCTAGCATTTTATCTACTTTAGAAAACCTAAACTACTGACTAAAGTAACTCATCTTTCTCTAGACTGATGGATTGTAATTTTCTTGGCTTCTCTGTTCTAGGGATATCTCAGTGCTATTTGCCTTCATTAGTTTGCTCGTTGTGCTTCCCACTTGGTGGATTGTGTCTTCCTGGCTGGTATGGGGAGTAATTCTGTTTGTTTATCTGATCATAAGAGTTTTGAGATTATGGAGGACAGCCAAACTACAAGTAACACTTAAAAAAACACAGTGTCCGTTTGGAAGATATAGCAACAAATAGCCGAGCTTTTACTAATCTCGTGAGAAAAGCTTTACGTCTCATTCAAGAAACTGAAGTCATTTCCAGAGGATTTACACTGTGAGTTCATTTTTCATTTTATTTTTAAAATAATTCTTTCCCACTACATGGTTGAATTTGAATATTTATTGCCTATTTTAATTTCTGTGTTGAATTTACAGGAAAAAAGTAGGTTTCTCTTTTATTAAAGCATTTATTAAAGTCTATTAACTGCTAAGTGAAGGAAAAAATACATTAGATGCTGGATGTAATAAGTAGTATGCTTCTGCTAATCTACTTTGAGAAACCAAAGTGCTTTGAGAATCATGATTATTTCTGCGTAATACCACGTGATTATATGATATAATACATAGAGAGTCCTCACATATAATATACATATATAATAGAGAACCTTGAACTTAGGATGCAATAGTTATGCAATAAATGTTTGTTCCCTTTATTCCCTGTCAGATGCTCGCTTTACTCAGTTTAAATGATAAATGTATCTGACGTGAATTTATTTTGAAAAATCTTACCATGTATTAATAATACTCTTTTGGTAAATATTAACAGATATTATGGCACTGATACTCTCAGAATATCATGCAAATAATGATATTTCATATTCTCACAGGAAATTAAATATTCACTGGTATAACTGTTAAGTGTATTAAGCTACTGGATAGACAGGCTATTTATTCTATTAATAAAGGCAAAGTTGTGTTTATTGAACATTGATTATGTTCTATAAACTATGCTAGACAATTTTGCATACAACTAAAGACATACAATTGTAAGTGGTAGAGCAAAAGTTCAAGTTCATTCCATCTGATTCTAAACCTGTTTCCTATACACGAGGGTGCCATCTAAATGCTCACAGGTGATGGTTGTACTATAGTGTATTTAATAACGTATACAGCTCATAACCTCTGCAACCTGTAGGTGGGAGAAAGTAAGTATTTGGCAAAGTATATTGCTCTTAATTAGCTGTATCTGGAAAATCATGAAAAGGAGGAGGGCCAGAACAACCTTTAATGGTCATTGCATCTTTCATTCTGCTCTGCTCTAGAGTAGTATTTAAACAATCTTGACATAAAAGCTGTATTTGGGACATCATGAAACAAAGAAATGGAAAACTCTCCAGTAGTCATCTCATTCTTCACTTGGTTGTGTTCTGAAATGTTTAAAAATCCTGACATAAGAGAGGTTTTATAACTTTTCTTTCTGCTCAATTCAAAATGTAACAGTCCTCAGTGTCTGTTAATTTTTGTCCTTCCACTGTAATTAAAGTTCACTTCTTGTTGATAGAGCCTAGCGAATACTAAGTTGTGTCAAATTTTAAAAGTTCAAAATCACAGTAAGACTAAGTAATAGCTACTTTTCACTCTTGACTTGCACAGCGTTTTATCAAGAGGGCTGACTAGTTAAGCAGAGTGGCTGTGTGTCCAGTTAATGCTTAGGTGTGTACAGGGGATTCTGTTCCTTTTGTCATTGTTCCACTTTGACCTATATGTATAGACTTGGCATGAAGAGCTAAAATTGGCTAGTGGTTTCCCTCTGGATTTTGACTTACCTGTTCAAATGAAGACAGGCAGACGAAATGCTGGGAAAAATTGTGTTTCACTTGTTTCCATCTAACTGGAAAATAGATTAAAAAAGTATGACAATAAGTTTTAAATCATAATTTTTTAGAAATACTTTTATTTTTAAGATTGATTTAGTAAAGCATAGAGCACAAACAGTCGTGTCCATATATTGAAAACATGAGTCCTATTTTATTCTCCCTCAATTTTTTCTAACAAATAACTTAACCCTTCTTTGCCTTATTCTTTTATTTTAAAATAAGCCTATCAGTTATTGTCCTGTTTTTTTATAGATCTTTAATGCCTGAATATATTTTAGTTTGGTTTAACATTTTTAAAAATTTTGAGTTAGATGTCTTAATTTTATAAATTTGTGGTTATAGTGTAAGAATTTATAAACTCCAATAATTTGTTTTGTTATTAGGAGAGGTTACTGGTTAGGTGAAAAATCTCATCTGACAACTGTGTAATATGAAATCATTCATAGTTTTATTTATAAAAACATTATATGGCATTATTGCAAATAGGTCCTCCCCATTTATCTTTTGGAAAGTGCTATGAAATGTGCTTCCTCTTGAACAGTTTTGAGAGTAGCTGTGCTACTACATAGTAACCCTTACTTTGCCTTTCTACTTGCATTCCCCTGTTCGCCACTGGTCCTGTTATCTTTCTGCGTCCCCTACTTCATTTTGAGTAGGTAAGTGCCAGTGGCTGCAGGTGGGTAAGTCATTTTACCCTACTTTTATGAATGTACAGAATGTATTTCTATACAGTATTTGTTCTGTACAAATGACCAAAAATATGATTGATGAACATGTTAATGCATATTAAGAATGTGAAAATGTTTATAATTAAGGCTTTCATAGTTACTATAGATACAAGTTTTGAAAGTTAAATGTAAAGTAATGCCACTTTAGTATATTCTAGCAGGGAGAGTGTCTATATAAAAAAGTTATAGTTTCTTACTTAAGTATTCCACATTTCTACTATATTTCAATTAAAATTCTTTGTTTCCCCATATCAGAGGAAGCCTTTATTCTTTGAGATTTTAATTTATTATTTGTGTTTTTTCTGGTGGCTATTTATGTGTCAGAGAAATATCTATGAGACCTGAGTTGGGATATTTATAATCATTTTCTAATGAAAATCATGAAAAGGGATTTTTTTCCCCCTAAGTTTAATAGAATTGTGGATTTAGAAAACAAAAATTTTAGGACACCTGTACAGTTGTATCACATTTTACTTTTCAAGTTTGCTTGACAGGGTCAGTGCTGCTTGCTCATTTAATAAAGCTGGACAGCATCCCAGTCAGCATCTCATCGGTCTTCGGAAAGCTGTCTACAGAACTGTAAGAGTCAACTTTCAAGCAGCAAGGCTAGCTACCCTATATATGCTGAAAAAATATCCTTTTGTCTGTGCGTCAGAATAAGCAATGTTTCCAGAGTCCTGAATATAGATATTATAGCTGCATCCTGTAAAAGTTAACTGTTACCTGACATTGACTATTTTGAAGCTGATTTCCATCATCCCATCATCACTTCTATTTTAAAACTGGAAATGCATTCCGGGGGAATGACAATAATAGACAGGAAGAAAGTTCTTCTGCTCTCATGTGGCTCATTTTTAACAAGGAAAAAACTTGAAGTCCCTCCCTTTACTGTTGCAAAGAATAAAGTCTTTTAGAACCTGGCTTCACTTAGTCTGACACTTTAAAAAATTACTGAACATGGCAAATTTGCTTCATGTCACGGAAATAAACTGGCAACAGGAAATCCTTCCCCTTTCAAAAAACAGAGGTTCTAGAGTCAGACTGGCTAAGTCTAAATTTTGGTTGTATCAGTTGCCGCCTCAGTGACTGTAAACAGGTTTCTTAACTCTTTGTACCTTGCTTTATTCATTTGTAAAATGGCAATAATAACATAATCTTCCTAAATGTGTTTTTGTTAGATCAAATGAATTACTGCATTTAAAGTGCTTAGACAGTGTCTGTTGTATAATAAGCACTTAAAGACTGCATGACAATGTATGCCTCTTAAATTTACTAAATCAGGAAATTAGTTCTGTTAGTCAGAAAATAAAGTATATGAAATCTTTAGTTAAAATTCATAGATAAGTTATGAGTAAGTAGAATGCAAAGACTACTTTGTACCTTCTGTATGCTGGGTACTATAGCACTGATAATACTCAAAAGTGTACAGAGTGCTTTATTTTCTGTCATTATATCCTTATATCCTTTCCAGCTAGATTTTCTTATCTCCACTTCATAAGAATACTAAATAAAATCTCTGATTTGTTCAGTGTCACACAGTTAGTAAGAGGTAAAGGTATGTCTTGACTGTAGGACTTAGGACTTTAAAACCTTTTCTATGTATATATTTACTTTATCTAGATTTATACACACATGTATTGTACTATACTACTTCTTTGGGAATTGAGAGAAAGCACTTTTCATTTTAGTCAAGACCTGTCCATTCAGTTCCCTTACTGCCTAAATACCTGCCTGCTCTGTGCTAGGAAGACAGAGCAAAAACTTTTACTACCTACTTTTAAAGACTTTTTAGCATAGTCAGTAGGTAAGTGGGTATTTATAATAAACTCTAAGTGCCCAGAGTGCCTTCCAACATAGCAAGACAATGTACTTGGTCAGAGAGGGCTTTCAGGAAAGTAACACCTGAGTCAGTTCGCAAGGAACGAGTAGGAGTTGGCCTTGAGGATAAGAGTCTGCCTTCCAAGTAGCAGGAAGCAAAGATACGGAAAGAAATGGAGGTATGACAGTGTGGCATGTTAACTGCAAGTAGTTACTCATTCAGTGAATATTATTCCGCATTATGCTAGTTGCTAGATATACAGTGCTCAACATAATAGACATGGTTCCTGCCTCAGGGAGCTTATAGTTTCATGAGGGGTGGCAGGGTGAGGGGGTCCTAATGAAGACTGCAAATTGTTATGAGTTCCCTGTGACAGTCACTTACCTAGATATTGGGGACCTAGCAGTGAACAAGATAGACAAGATCCTTGTTCTCATGGAATTTTCTTCTGGTGGATAGTTTATATATATGAACAGAAGATTTTCAGATATTTACTGTAAAGAAAGAAATAAAACCCAGGGGAATAGGATAGAGAGTGATTTGCTGTTTCTGACTGGATGATGGGGAAGTCCTTCAATTTAAACTGAGGTTTGCGTGAGAACATAGATGAAATTCCAGTCACATGGACCAACAAGTATAAAAATCTTGTGGCAGAATGAATTTACCATGATTGGAGTATAGAAAGAAGGCCATCGTACTCCAAGACTGGAGCACAGTATAAGTTGGGAGTTGGAGTATGAGAAGAGATTCAGAGGTAGGCAGGGGCCAGATCACATTCTCCATACAAGAATACTTAAGGAATTAAAAAAGAACTTACCAGTTATTTCTTTGAAAAGATCAATAAGGTATATAAATTCTTGCATGCCTGCCGGAAGTAAAATGAGGGAAAATACATAAGATTCTTAATGAAACAGAGTTGTAACCACAGATACGGAAGAAATTAAAATTATTATAATGGGATAGTATATGCAACTTTGTGCCACAACTTTGAATATGTAAGGAAAAATGGATCATTTCATATCAAAATACAGATCTCAAACTGACCCAGGAAGAATTAAAAAACTGGAGATTAGGTATGTAATGAAAAGAATTCCATTTAAAAAATAAAACACCTGAG